TAAAAAAATCTCAGTAATTCTTTTTTATTTCTAGATTGGAAGCAATAGAATAATACCCTTTAGTAACCACTAGGCTATGCTAAGATACAACTCAACAGGCCCACAATCTACTTTTTAAAATAATGCATGATTTAAATGCACGCAGATGTGCAAAGGCAAATCAAAAAGCCCCCATGCATTAGAGAAGATATTTAGAGTAACCCACATATCTTGAGTCAATTAACCTGTCCTGCTGGGGTTTTCAACCTTAATATAATTAGGAATTAAGGAGATCCAATTGAGCCTTCCTGAAGCAAGTAGTACCTCCCTAATGCTGCTATTGTAACTCAACAGAGAGAAACAGGCTTTTAGCATTTTATAGAGGAAGTTTTTAGCTCAAATTTTACTTCTTTCCTCTGATGATTTGTTTTAGATTCAAGATTGCAACAGAAAAAAAATATTAGAAATGTAAAAAAACCCTTCTTTTGTATGGATGTTTGCTTTACTAAATAAAGGAGATTAAAAGTATCTGGTACGTGCTCATCATTTTAGATAAGGGAAAGGTTACCACATTCTGTGAGAAAGCAAATACAATGCAAATTATGAGAAAGGAATCTGGAATATAATGAATTGCCAATAATGGGAACTGTTCTACACATCCCCATTAATGAGAGATATTTACCTTGTCACTACTCAGACTAACTGAATGCTTTGCCTTGTAATGAACTGACAGGATTCAGATAGAAAAGGATGGTTATTAATCAGTCAAGTCAATTTCCACTTTAAGAGCCTTTCATGCAAGAATAAAAATAAAAATGTAAAATAAGTATTATGTTTACTGTAAGATGTATAACAGTGTTCCATTTTTAAAGCATGTAACAGAATACATTGAAAAAACATCAATTGTTTCCTTGATCAATTTTTTTTAGAAGTCATATTAGAGGAGTAACACTAGATTAACTGTATGAACGTGCCAATGTAAAAATAAACCTCTTTTTATGAGAAGTACAAATGAACTTCAATTGAGATTCACAGTAGTGTTGAGTCATAAAGATTTTTATTTCTTGCTCTTAGAAAGGTTGTAATTCATAATTAAAAATCCCAACTTTATAATCTAATTTAAAATATAATTTTTGGTTATGACTGTGGAAATTAAAGTGAGAACATGATTTGAAGGTGCTGCAGTCCAGAATACTATTTGTGACTTTAGTACAAGACAGTATAATTTGTAGAATTGAATATTCTTGAAGCACAAATGCAAGACAAGTTTTGAAACCTTCCAGCATATCCCCTGTTTTAGTAAGTAAAGTCAGTCTTAAAAAGGAGAAACTTTTCTGAAGAGATAAAATTGAAAACTACCATTAGATTGGGCCTGTGGGTTTTGCCAACTCTGCAGAACCTGAAATACTTGGGCACATTTCCCATATCTAAAAGAGCCGCCTCTTACTGTAATTATCTTAGATAAAGTATTAATCTACTAAAACCCATCTTTCTGCAATTGGCTGTAGAATAAAATTTGAATTTAACTCTGAATAAATTTTGAGACTCTCATCTGAAAAACATTATGTAATGCCAACATATTGCCTTCTTTTGCTATGAGAGACACGGATCTTGTATGTTAGTTTGTTAACTGACATACAGAAAAAGTAAGTTAACTAGCTCAAACATTGGTTAAGGATAAAGCATGAGATGCTTCTGAAAAATACAATGAAGAATTAGAACTTAGCTAACTAACACACTAACTACATTAGAAGTCTGTTATAAAGGTTGTAAAATTCTACTTGCTGACATGATGAAATTCCAGGAGAAAGTATGATCACATTCTGTTGTCTTTTTATATCTGTTCCTTCTGTGTACTCTCTGTCACTGTACTTAAATATATGACAACATTCTAACAATAAAATAAATAAAATAAAGTATAATAAAATAAACATAGACAAAAATTTCCCTGTCATTTTCACTATTCAGGATGGCAGCAGCTGCCTTTGAGCTCTTTAGCACTTGATTTTATCCTATGGCTTCCTTCATTATGTTTTATGCAAACACTGCTTTACAGAGAGACTGGAGTTTCCATACTGTGCAGGTTTTCCAGGGAATTGCAGAGCCTGGCACTGTTATAACCCTGCTTAGCAGAGCACAATGTCTCCACTCCCACAGCTCCTCTGGAGTGTGGGAAGCTTTCCTACCAGATGCTTCCCTAGATTCACCTTCGTATGTGTATGATCCTGGGAGGTCGTATCATTTTCCCTTGACAACAGGACAACTGAAATACTAAAAGTTTTAGGCTTCAGATATTAATTTTAGGATATTTGGACTTGAACAGCACAATGAATATTTAAAGCCCCATTTCCACTGACTTCAGCTAATAGCTGTGAGTGGCATGCACCCCTATGAAATCAGATTCCAGTTTATCAAACTGGACATAGGAAACAAATAACATACCATCAGTTACTATAGGTGGAAACATTTCAGTCTCTTAAAAGGAAGTTCTTCTGTGCAGCACAAATGGGAACAAAAGCCAGTTTCTTCCAAGCAACCCTCAACTATTTTAACTGCAAATTATTCCTTTGCCTTTCTGATGACACTGTCCATCATCCATTACATGTTTCCAGTCTCTTCACAAATGCAGATTTCCTTGATAACACAGTATCAGTTCAGAACCACAGCTGCTTTAGTTGTTCATTGAAGCAAGTGGGAATCCCTCTTGAAAAAACAGCAAATGACCACTTAATACTTATACTTACCCAGGAAGTCAAGAGTAGGCTGCAGGGAGTGCCTGGATGATGGCTCTTCATAACATTAATAGTTCCTGACAGTTCACACTAACAATTCTACTTGCAGGTGTTCTTTTCCCTCCAAATAAATAACCTTTTCCTTCCTCTCACTACAACTCCAGTGTTTCCTACAGTACCTCATCAATCTCTTCAATGGTTATTGAAGGAATTATTAAATTTTTATTCCATTTCACATATAATAATGGTGGAGAAGTCTGAACATTACAGGGCACAGTTGGTGCCCTAACTTTCCTTAACAAGTGCCTAGGTAATAATCATTATAGCTAATAGGTACAAAGAAAAGGAAATGATGACTGATCGAGAGCATTTTTGATGCACAGAACTACAGTATCTGCCTGGAGAATAGTCACAGCAGTGACCCTGAAGTAAAATGTAGAAGTGAATCACAGTGCCAGGAAATGAGTATTCAAAATCAATCTGAGGAAGCAACCATCAGCAACAGATGGAAGGGATAATGGTTGAACTAAATTATTGACAACAATATTTGTTTGGGTTCTTTAATGGTCAGACAAGACTACTGATATAAACCAGTACAGAAAACTGAACTGGGGGGTTAGGAAGACCCTCTGAAGACCCCAGAAGAACAGTTCTTTGCCAAGACAGCCTCTGGGAAAACACAGGAGCGTGATAAGAGGAAACATTGGAGCTTTCTCCTTGTTGTTGGATCCAGTTGCATTTTAACTGGGGTTGCAGAAAGCATGAGCCTAGCATTACCAGTGACCTGATCAAAAATGGGAACTTCTCCTAGCTGCTTGGGATAGGTGCATGGCAGCACAACCCCCCTGATATGTTTAGGGTGGAGTTTGCAATTGAACCACGTGATGTGCAGGTGAATCTGCTGTACATCATTCTTTGCTGATGTGGTTCGAGTCAGCCTGCCTCCATGGCTGCCGTTTGACCGGCCTGCTGAAGAGGGCGGACAGCAAGCACCGTGCCTCCCTGCATCCTGCACTACTGCAGCAGGCTGAATACTTTCCAGCAGCAGGGAACTGAATCCACACTAGTGGGCTGGATCTAGACAAAGATGTGCCACCATTGTCAAACCATTTCACAGGTGTTTGGTGAGTGCAAATGAATGGGACAGGAGGGCATCATGCTTTAGTACAAACACTTTTCTCTCCAGCTCCTCTCTACTCCAACTTATTCATGTCAGCTGAGTCTTCCTGCTCTCTCTACATTATCCCATTTCCCTTATGTATTTCCTGCCATGCTTTGAAGTTTTCTCATCTCAGTTGCAGTCTCCAAGCACAGTAGCTCCAGTTCCCCCAGTGACTCCATGACTGGTTTCCCTCTCTTTCCTCACAGTTCCTGGTCACCAGCCACAGGTCTCCATCCAGCAAGTCTCATTGTTATAGTCCTAATCATTTGTGTCTAAGTTTCACAAAACCTAAATGAGGGATGAGATTGATACCTGGGAAATTTAAGCCCAACTGATTAACACTTTGACAAAAAAAAACTTAAGTCAGTTTGGTTCTTTTTTTACAGAAAGCATCATACACAGGAAATTTTGGCAATTACTGCCTGTATACAATGGACAGAATACAAACAGGAGGAGACTAAAAAGAAACCTAAATAGCATGGACAGTAAGTACATTGATTGCTTTATAACAAAAGATACGAACTTGCTTACTGTCAGCAACACTACCTCTTTTTCTAGGTGGGCTGAGAAATAGTCAGACTATTAAAGGAGTCAGTTAAAGGAGGTGTCTTCATGAATAGTCTATTCCACATAATTTTGGTGTTAGACAGAAAAACATCCTTAAACTAGCATTTATACATAATTTTTTTCCAAGAGAAAAAACATACAGCAAACAGAGAAAGGAAATGGAGATTATGTGGCATGTACCACTCTATTCAGGTATATAATTAATCCTATTTTAATGGAAAAATATGTTTCTACTAAATATTCTTTAACAAAGTGCCATAAATTGCAACATTCAAAACCAGTATCTAAACGAGACTGTACTCTTAGTTCTGCATTTCAGACATAGCTCATCATCTGTCTTTACACATCACTGAACTTCTGAAATGAATGTTATTCCTGACTAGTCTGAACTTTTTGTGTAAAATGAAGATACAACACAATACCATACTATAAGAAATGTTCTAGACATTCATAATGTTTTACAAACTTTATGATTTTAGATACACTTTGTTAAAACACAGGCATAGTGAAGCAAAATAATAAAATAATAAAATAGAGACAGCCAGGAAACGGACACTTACCCACAGTGCTTCATGTGAGGTGGTTTATCCATTCTCACCGCCAGTTTAATTTTCAGGTCACTGTCCTGGCTGTTTTTGGGAACTATCATTTTATGCAGATCAGGAGACTTCGGGCTATTGGATGTTGGATATAACACAACCTGAAGGTCATGAAAAGAAAAACTTCAGCAAATTGATTAAAAAAAACCAACTTGTAGTCTTTAATGGGAACATCTAAGCAGTGAAGATTCTTGTTGCATCTCCCCCAATATGAAAGATGACTAAAAAAGATTTCCTAAATCTAATAAACCAGCTGACTCAATCTCATTATAACAGACCAATTTCAAAAATTAACTCCTTTCTTCTCTTACAAATAGGAATTTTCATATTATGAGTTAATAAAATTTCCTCCTGGTAATATATTCTGAATTAACATTTTTTTTAAAAAAAGGAACAGCTGGCATTTCAAAAGGATCATGTACAATTAAATAGGTACTTAAACTTCTACATTATTCAGTGCTCTGCTGGAAACACCCTTTTGAAGCAATTTGCTGTAGCATTATGCAATGGATCGGCCCTTAGTATTGCTAGAGAGAAGATAACCAAATTATGTCTCGTTGCTGTCTCCAATTTTTGATCAATAGCATTAATAAAAGTCAATAAAAGTCAAAAAACACAGAAATTGTAGATGAATTCCAAAGCACCTCTCCAGCAAATGGAATATAATAATTGTAAGCTATTATGTCCAGTTCACGTGTGATATGACGCAAACCTTTAATCTACAGCAATAGACATAAAAACTCCCAAACCATTGAATTTTAAATATTTAATTATTAAAACAATTATATAAATTTCTTGGAGGTTTTATGAACAACGAATTTTAGATTAGTGTTAGCCACACGCCATTAAACATTTATTTACCATCCAAAAATGTATTCATTTATAGCCAGTACAATTAAAAATTACTGCTTCATCAAATCCTTACCCACAGTGACATATTCAGCAGTTAAATGCTGCTTGAACCATAACTTCCTTTCATTCTCATTATAAACACTACTTTTGAATCTAGACTCTGAAGTATTCTAAAATATTAGGATTTGGACTCTAAAGTATTCTAAACATACTACTTGGGAGACTTTCATAACATTCAGTGTGTTTTGAATTACAATTACCACAAATTACCATTATCATTTCAACAGTAATAACACTCTAAAAAGGATCATTCTTCACATCTTTCATTACTGGAAAAATGAAATTAATCATTATGTTAACCATCAAGTTAATTTCTTACACATAGTACTTGTGTCATATATATATATCTAAACCACGATATATTTTTACTATGAAGGTTAAATTAAGGATACTGTCCAAGCAAGTATAAATCTAGAAGATGTTATAAGACAGAAATATTACAACAGTGTCATTCAGATCTAATCATCTGAAAAATGGCACAAGTGGAAAGCCTTCAGCTTTTCTTCTCAGTATTTTGCAGAAGCACATTCCTACATCCTGTTAATATCAGGAGCTCCAGTCAAGCAGAGAAATATAATGCATCACTCCTAATCAAATATGCAACCTTTGTAAAACCAGTGGAAGAATTAACCTGTCAGATCTATTAAGTACATTCAGTACCTTTTAAAGAGATGGCAGAAGAATCAGTATATTCGGATTTTAGCAAACCAGGAGGTTACTTCTTTTCCTTTTTGCAAATGCACAGAAACCACTATTTATAACAGAGCTTATTCCTTCTCTCTGGTTTTCATTCTGAGTAAAAGGCATTCCTTAAATAACATTTAAAAACATTATGAGCATGGAACCTTTGAGTTCTGATGTCTCAAAGGGAAAATTATTTTTAGTTTATTTACCCCTTTAACTACGAGATTATATAAACAGAATTATTATGCATTGCTTGCATTTAATCACTAGGCCTTCACATAGGTGATGCTAAGAATTTTTCCCTTTCTACAGTCTGTAGTTCCTGTTGTCCTGTAACACATCTCATGCATCTCAAGTGACATCTTTCTCCTGTCAACTTCCTGACTTTTTAGAACATTGACGAAAATAAAAGCAGACAAGGGTATAATTAATTTATATCTGTGGTACTGACAATTCCTTTTCTGAATTTTTAAAGGACTATTACAGAGCTTCAATTTCAAAGCTCTCACAAAGAAGTATCTGTCAGACTATTTAAGTATGCACTGTGGTGGGTTTGTATTACACTTTGTCATGCCTTCCAGATTTAAAAAATGACAGCTTGAAAGAACTTTGTAATCAAACTTTTTGTTACACAGAAAAACACACACAAAGCATTTTTAAAGCATAAATTATCTTTGTGATAACCTTCATACTAATATTGCCCTTAAGGGCAATGATAGCTATTGTGTACACAGCATCAGGTGGCACAAGCTGCAAGCTCCCACAAAATCACTGAAACCAAAACTCTTGGCAACTTCTCGATAAGAAAAGTAAAAAACTGCAGAAATTACTATTAAAAGCATTCTTTCCACTATGGAACACTGTAATGTGAAGTCAATGCCATTGTCCACGGAGAAACTTCCTAACATTATTCTGTCTCAGATTTCCTTACAGCACTGCTTAAGGATTTAAATCTTCTGGTTGTTTCATAATCTACTTCAAAAAAATGAAGTGGTATCTACTCAAATGTCTTCTCTGGCAGATATAAGAGTCACCTAGAAGATACCCTCTCTGTGCCTAAAACTTTTATAAATTTCATAGAATTCCTACTGAATAATATATTTCTGTACTAAATCGCATATTTCTGAAGTTTTATTTTATTTTATTTTGATTTATTTTATTGTACATTGTCCTGGCTTAGCATTCATATACCTGTGGATAGCACAGTAGTTTATTCAGCAGCAGCACAGAGAATTATGAGTTTTTAGTATAGGAAAGTGTTGATCATAATTATACTAACAGGTAATCTACATTAAAAAGTATAATGAACTATTAATGACTAGATAGCTGCACAGCAAGCATAGCTGCTGTGCATTGCATTGCTTCAACTTATTTAAGGCAAATTAATAGTATCAGAACAGTGTGGGTTGAGATAATTCAGTAAATTCAATTGTCTCATAATCATTAAAAAATACTTGACTAAGTGTTCTAATTATATCTAGCATTACATTTCCTCAGACCACTCTGTAACTGAAAAAGTGTCAAGTTCACTTTATCCCTCTCCTCATCTGGATGTAAAATAAACACAGAAATCTTAAATATTATAGAGCCACACTTGTAGGTATTTGTGCAAAGTGATGTTCTCAAAATATTGTTTCTGAGTTGTGAATTACTCAAAATGTTTCTCTCTTGAGCTTAAAAGATGACAGGTAGGAAGACGTTGAAGCTAATATCATTTGACAGCATAACTAACCACCATTTTGTGATTCCATTATTTATTTAGTTCCTCAGCTGGATCACAATAGAAGTTAATTTAAGTACACCTGAGCCAAACAGTCAATCCAGACAAGTAACTATTAATTCTACTTTTGGCCCATTGATCACATCTTCTTTTAAAGGTGTGAAAGAAAGATTGAGCTGCCCAAAGTACTCTAAAAGCTTGAACAAACTGGGGGCATTCTTTCTTTCTCAGAGAAGATAACTGAGCAAAAGGTTCAGAGTCAGAAGCACTGTGAAGAAGTATCTCCTATTGGTACTCCCGTGTTGAGATAAAGCTCTCAAGCTAGCCATTGTTGCACAAGTGGTACACAATGTTACACAACTGCAGTTGTCCTGTGGTCAAAAGAATATGCAGCCTTCAAAAGGGACATGAAGGCATGAGGAAAACAGACTAGCAAGTTGTAAGCACCTCGAGAAAAATCAGGGGTCAAGACATACTCTACATTTTTCCCCACCTGACACTTGTGGCTGAGTTCCAGCCAACTTGTGTCCTCACGTTCTGGATGCTCCCCAGCACCCTACTTCCACCAAAACCCATGATATTCAAGTGTTGAATCCAAGCAATGGAGTTACCCACACTTCTGACCCAAGTGCTTGAGATGAGATAGATTTTTCAAGTTGGGATGATCTAAGACACATTTTGAGATCTCAGACTCTGGGCACCAGACCTTGGTACTCATGGTAACTCTGAGCCAGCTATGCTGAGTTTTGGCTCATTGTCACAAGCAAAAGAGATGAAAGTGAAGAAGACTTGCATCTTCATGCCCTGGCTGAAGAGGCAGGTGATATTTAGCATGCTATTATCACTACATATCATTATAAATCGTTATCTTGCCTTCAGTACAGAAAGTACCACAAAAAAGAAAGACACAGCCTATCCACAGTTTCCTCTTCATAACTCAGCCTGGGTCATCTTCAGAAAACAAACCAAACCTCAGCCTAGCCCCATCCCCAGGGAGGCCCCTGATGCATGGGGCTGCCCTGGTGTCTCCCAGTCCTGCCCTGTGCCCTGACACCCCAGGGAATTGCTCCTGCTCCTGGCACCCAGCCTCCTATCCTTTCTTCAAACTCTATAGTCTCCAACAGGAAAGCTAGAAAATGTTCTGAGACAAAAGTTCTTGTGCCTGATGTGCTCTTTCAGAACACAAATGGTACTACAAATGCTGGCTTTTTGCTGCTGACCAAAAGTTCATTTCCTTTTTTATCCTATTCCATACATAGGATGAAAAATTTTAACCTCGTATTTTAAGGTCTGGCTAAGTCGGTTGAGAACTGAATATACATCATGTGGTCTTAATCATAAGCAGCTTTGTGAAGTCTGTTCAGAACAAACAACACACTCCTTGTCATGCAACAAATCCCTCCACGAACTAGAGAAATTAAGCTCTCTATCTCCCAAGCTCTACCAGAGACATTTCTAACTCAATTTGTGATTTTTTAAAGCTATGAATAACAGCCAGTGCCTGGCACGTAAGATCATACAATCAATCAACTGCATTTGTTGGAGGTTTTATCATGCAACAGGATCAATTATTACAATATAAGGATTTTCTTTCATGTTTTAAAATACACCAATTTGAAAAGATGCCAGTTCAAGCAGAGAGGATAGGCAAAATTTAAGTTACGAAGCAAGTTATAAAGCAAGCCCATTTTCATTGGGCACGTGCAAATTTATGCTGCTGGTCATTCTCTGAACAAATATTACAGGAAAATCTCCTAGTTAAATATGGTGTTTCACTGATTTGAA